CGGTCGCCGCGCTTGATCAATGAGTCCGGTTTCCTCTCTCTCTTTTCTGATGTTTTTATTGGATTATATTTGTTTTCGCTGTTTTTCCTTAATTATTTTTAATTATGTGTTCGGTTTTCTTTATTTTTGCGATGGTTTTCATTATTTTTTCTTCCTCATACTTTGTTTTTCTTTGTTCTTTCTTCGGGTTTCTATTTTTTTGTTTTTTGTTTCATTGTCTGTTTTTCCATTTGGTTTTCCAACAGATGTCTACATTGTCGTACATGTTGTACATTTAGCATATACATGTAGAACATTTTTTATACTTGTTTGAAATTTCCAAATACATGTCTAACATGTTTATGAAAACATGTATTGAATATATTAATGAAATACGTGTCAATTTTTTTAATACATGTCGAAACATTTTTTGAATGAGATAAAACATTTTTTGGCACTGTGAAAACATTTCTTAAAATTGTACAAACATATATTTGAAAATTTCACGAATAAAATTTTGAAAACTTGTGAATATTTGATTAAATGTGACATACATTTTTGAAATGTACGAAACATCTTTTCAAACTACACAAATATTTTTTTTACATTGTATAGACAACTTTTAAATGTCACATAATTTTTGTTGGAATGTGACATTTTTTTATTTCTTGCAAGCATTTTCCATGCACATAATTAACATTTTTTGTGCACATGATTAACATTTTTGGTACACACGATTAACACTTATACTTTTTTCATTCATTTCATGCATTTTGGCATATACACCAGAAATATGTTTCTATACATGTTTAACATTTTAGATTGAAGAATATTTTTTTAGTACAGGAATAACATTTTTCAAATACAGTATTATTAGTTTACATTTTAATATATATTTAGTATATTTACAAATGTTTACACAATTAATAAAATCAAAAAACAAAATTTGATGAAAAACATAAAAAAGTCACGCATGATGGCAGCGTGACGTGGCTTGTTGTTACCAGGCTGACCCAGTTCGGGCTCGTTACAGGCGAGTCGTGCCTTGGCGTCGCAGTAAGCGGCACATAGCCGCACAAGCGCGGCTGCACATTGAGACACCCTCAAGTACGAATATCCTATTCAACGCATTTTTTTTTGCGGGAAATCTTTCGATCTATTCATCTTCAATCATGGTAGTACAACGAATACCAAAAATAATAAAATTACATCCAAATCCGTAGACCACCTAGCGACGACTACACGCACTGAAGCGAGCCGAAGGCGCGCCACCGTCATCGCCCCTCCATCATCAGAGTCGGGCACAACTTGTTGTAGTAGACAGTCGGGAAGTCGTCGTGCTAAGACCCCATAGGACCAGCGCACCAGAACAGCAATCACCGCAGATGAAGAATAATATAGATCGGAAGGATCCAATTTGAAGACACACGAACGTAGACGAACACCAACAAGATCCGAGCAAATCCACCAAAGATAGATCCGCCGGAGACACACCTCCACACGCCCACCAATGATGCTAGACGCACCACTGGAACGGGGGCTAGGCGGGGAGACCTTTATTCCATCTTCAGAAAGCCGCCGCCGTTTCGTCTTCCTGAGCAGAACACAAACCCTAACAAAATTAAAAAAAACGACTAAAACCGAAGCCCTCCCGCCGGCCCTTAGCAGGATCCACCGCGCCTCCATGGCCCTAGGACCACCGGAGACGAGGCGAACCTGCGTCGAAGCCGGCGAGAGGCAAAAACCCTAGCTTCTTTTTTTAGGAGCTATTCAACGCATTTTGGATCAAAGTGTCGTCCCTGAGAGCAACTAACTGAGAAGTACTCCTTGTGAGATCCACTCAAGGGTCATTTTTTTTATAGGTAAAGCACTCCAATTCATTCAGCAATAACAAAACATTTGATACCGATAATTTCAAGAGGATTAATTAGCCAAAGATGACGTCCATTATCTAAAGTCAAGGAAGCTCTAGACAAAGGGTCACTTTTAGTTTGTGCGCTCTTAGCCTCCGTCATGTGTCGTATGCTGGGCGCTTTCTTCAGATTTTTTTTCTATATGCGTTTTCCGCTTGAGATGTTTTTTTTTGCCTTTTAGTTTTTGTCCGGTTTCCCATAAATTATGGATAAAACATTCCAAATTTTTTTTGTGAAAAAATTATGTTTTTCCCTTTCGTGAATGGCACAAATTTGATTCTCGTGAAGGCATAAGTTTCCTTTTGCGGGAGGCACAGTTGTGCCACTCGAAATGAAAAAGAAGACACATTTTTTTTCTTCTGCGAGAGGCACAAATTTGCTTCTCGTGAAGGTATAGATTTGCTTCCGCGAGAGGCACATATTAACTTCTCGTTGAGGCATAGATTTTCTTCCGCGAGAGGCACATATTAACTTCTCGTTGAGGCACAGATTTGCTTCAGCGAGTGGCACGAAAACTTTTTTTTTTCACGAGAGACGCAAATTTGCTTCTCGTGGAGGCATAGAGTTGCTTCTGTGAGAGGCACAACTCACGGAAAGGGAAAACACATTTTTTTCTTTCGCGAGAGGTGCATATTTGCTTTGCGTGAAGCTAAAGATTTGCTTCCACGAGAGGCACAGTTTTACATGGCAATTTTCCCTAAAAAAACTAGGAAAAATCGTGCTTTCGGCTCAGTTTTCTTTTTCTTTTGATTTTTTTGTGTGCAAAAGAAATTGATCAAAATCTATTAACATGGAATCTAGCTTTAAAGATCTCGACGCGAGAAATTTAATGGTGAAAATGGTTTGCAATTTAGAAGGACGGTTTAATACGATAATTCATCCTGGAGCCCGGGCTCATCTGCTCCCGCTCATCAAAAAATTCAAAAAAAAACTAGAAAAATTCAAAAAATTCCATTTTTTGTGGTGGTAGATAATTTGACGCGTGAGGTGCGCCCCAAAATTCAACTCATTTGGACATCTGAGCAGCTCTCGGCAAAAAAGACAAATCGGGTCAAAACAGTGCGTGAACAGTACATATTTTTACAGACTCTGATTTTGTCTTTTTTGCCGAGAGCTGCTCAGATGCTCAAATGAGTTGATTTTTGGGGCGCACCTCACGCGTCAAATTATCTACCACCACAAAAAAATTTGGAATTTTTTGAATTTTTTTCTAAGCATGAGTGCAGATGAGCCCGGGAGCCAAAACTCCACGTCCGGTTTAATAGATAAAACTTTTTGAATAACCGAATCTACGAAAAAAGAAAACTCCTAGATTGCGCCACTTGTCGCATATCGAGGTTTAGGAGTGACCTTTGAAAGGGGTATCCCTTAATTAGCGATTCCGGTCATCCCTTTGCACAGGGATGACCACCTTTGAAAGGGGTATCCCTTAATTAGTGATTTCGGCCGTCCCTTTGCACAGGGATGACCAGGGAGCGATGGACTGGGTCGGTCGATTATCTAGCTCTAGCGTAGATTTTTTAGTATGCTTTTCTTTCTGTTTTGGGAACCTTTGTAGAAAATTCCTGAACCTTTTGTAGTATTTGTTTCTTTTTGCTGGTATTTATGATCTCTTTTGATTTATATTTATCATATTTTCGGTTCATTTTCTTTTTTTAAGAAAATTTCATATATTTCAAGAAATATTCAGCATCTTGAAAAATTGTTAGTTTATTATAAAATAATGTTCACCTTTTCGATTCAAAATATCAATAAAATGTTGACAAAATTTGTTCACAAATTTCTAAAATGTTCGTGTTTTTCAATATATCAGTGTTCCTTTTTTTTAAATACCATGTTTCTATAAAATATTCTCTTTTTCATAAAAAGTTCAGAAATTCTAAAAACGGTTCGCGGTTTAAAAGAAGTTCAAAAATATTAAAATGTGTTCATCTTTCTTAAAATAGTTCTTGTTTTTTTTAAAAGATCACGTTCTTCAAAAATTGTTTAGAACTTTATTCAAAACTAACCGGAAAACCATGCGCAAGTGATCACCCAGCTGAATCTGAATCGAATCGCTGCCCATTAACAAAGAACCTTGTCCTGGATATCGGGTAATTCACATGAAGTTATGAACTATGGTACCCCAAAAAAGGCTCCCGCTTTGTTATGAACTATGGTCGTGCTGTCGTATACGTTATTTCCAAATATATCTCGCCACGTTAGCTTTGGGTACAGAATCAGTAGGGTGGCACGCCAACATAGTTGCCAGGAGGGAAGTACTCGCAGACGGCCACGGTGTCGAGGCCGTTCCGGCAGGTGCGGCGGCCGCAGCCGAGCTCCCGCGTGGTGTTCCACACCACCTGCGTGTACTCGCCGCATGTCTTCCCCGGGGCACAGGCGTTGGCGCGGTGGTCGTACCACCGCCGCTCACCCACCCACGCGGCCACCGCGTGCGTCGCGTTGTGGTGCCCGTTGGCCCAGTAGAGGTTCCGCCCGTAGACCCCGTCGGCGGCCCACGGGATCGGCGAAAGGTTGCAGGGGATGCGGAGCTTGTTCGCGTACTGCATGGCGTCCAGCTCCAGCGTCAAGTTCCACTTCAGCGGCGGCAGGCCGACTGCGCTGCGCGCGTCGTTGTGCGCCCGCAGGAACTGCGCCCAGGAGGGCACGACGGCGGCGCCAGGGTTATGGCCGGGGACGCTGATGGCTGCCGCCGGCGATAGCGAGGCCAGTGCGAGGGTCAAGGCGGCCACGCAGGCGAAAGGAGACATGGTGATCTGCGGTGTAGGTCGATTTGGTGAAGTTTGCAAAGGGAAGTGCAGTCATTATATAGGAGCGGTTAATTAATCGTGCGGGTTCTCGTATGCATGCATGAGCGTTTGGACTTTAGATTGCAACGCATATGTGTGTCAGTTTGGACAATGGAGAGTTAATTTGAAGCGTTCATCGTCGAGTAATGGAGTATATACTACTGTCAGTGATGAAAATGTGAATTTATTTATTTTTGAAGCATACAATTTGCGAATTACAAGTAAAGAAATGCATAATCGATGGTAAATAACTTTGATGCGCCACGTGGAGGGATGCTGTTAACTTGCATGCGCGGCGTGATCATTCAACGGTGCGCGATCAGTATGGCCGGCCGGTGCCGTAGTTGCCGGGCGGGAAGTAGTCGCAGACGAGCAGCGTGTCGCCGGAGTCGCATACGATCTTACCGCACCCGAGCTGCGTCGTGTTCCGCCACACGACCTGCGTGTACCGCCCGCATCCGGACGAGCCCGCCGGCGCCGCGCAGGAGCTGCTGCCGTAGTCGTACCACCGCCCCTCGTCCACCCACTGCGCCACCAGCGCCCCGGCGCCCCAGCGACGCCCTTTGCCCACTTCTATGTTCTCACCGAAGTAGAACAGCGACGAGCGCCGCGGCGCGCAGTCCGCGCGGCGGGAGCGGGCGTAGTCCTTGGCGTATCCCGCGATCCCCTGGCTCCACGTCAGGGGCTCCACCCCGACCTTCCTCCGCGCCTCATTGTGCGCCGACAAAATGTCGTCGACGGTGGCCTCGGCGCGCGCACGGCGACTCCCGTCGACGCCCGCGCTGTTGCTACCGTCGTCAGTGTCGCTGACGGGCGTGCACGGTGGTGCCAGTAATGCAAGCAGTAACAATATGGTGAGGTAGCACATGTGCAATGTCATCCTTGTGTTCGCCATTTGCGTGGGTTCCCAGAAAGCTTGGTCGTATTGAGACTTGAGAGGGAGGGTAGTGCATGTGCATGGATGGACCAGCTGCGTCGCTATGGTTATATAGGGGTAGAACGTTCCGTGTCAACCTCTCTTCAGCCTGATTAGCTGTTGATTACTTTGAACACTCGCATGGCGGCTATGGCGTTAGTGTGCTCTAGCTGGTCATGCCATCTTTGTGTCCAAGCCACCAGGGAATCTTCCAAATTGTTTAGAAGCTAAATCTATTGGCACGGCACAAACAAGATGATGGTGTACTTGACCAGAGGAGCAAATGCAATTGAACAAGTGCATTATACGTGGTATCTTGCTGGTTTTAGGGGACTGAGCAAGAGAAGATTAAGGAAGAAGCAAGAGCAGCTGCACGGCAATTCTTGCCGCCCACACGGCCGTATGTATCTCGCGGTGCGATGAGGGAAAGACCCTCGCCAAATCGGTGCGCTGTTCACGTCATCATTTTGTCGACTGTAGTGCACCACTGCACCATACAATATTTTGATTATTGTTGGACAAGCATTTTCTCCTCTACAACACGATGAGCTATTTGGTATCACAAAAAGAGGCTGAACCAAGTCAAACTTCCATGACTGTTAGCATGAATATCTCTACTCCTAATGTCTCAGTTGTTAGTCTCCGTTCATCGGTTATATTTTGTCCCATCAAACCTGATTTTTTTCGTCCTCATTCCCACCTCCCACGTATCAGCGATCCTGCCCTGGTTCCAGCGCCGAACCAAAAAAAAAAAATGCCCACACGAGGTTCCTACACGGTCGATCGAGAAAAAAACGCTTAGAAAAAAAAACTACGAAAATAAACCTACAAAAAAAACCCAACAATCTCCTCCCGCAAAACAAAACGCTTCGCACAGAGCGTGCACCGCTCCTCACCGCACAGGGTTAGTGTTCCTTGTGCCGCCGCCGCCGCGCTCCTCGACCACCTCCTGCTGCCTTGTCCCTCTCTTCCCTTCGAGCTTGTCGTCGGCGACGAGGCGTACGGCGATGCCACGGCCGTTCTTGACCGCCTCCAGGAACCCGTACGCGCGCCGAGGTGTACGGCACCACCATGGCCGTTCTCGATCGCCTCCAGAGACCCGCCACGCGCTCCGAGGCGAGGGCCCCCTGGGCTCCGTCAGTCGCCGCTTCGCCGATGACCCAGCTGAGAGAGTCCTGGATAAGGGGGTATCCAGACAGCCGGACTGTATACATCATCCGGACTATAGAAGCGTCAAGATACAAGACTCAAGACTTCGGCTCGTGTCCGGATGGGACTCTCCTTTGCGTGGAAGACAAGCTTGGCAATCCGAATATTATGTTTCCTTCCTTGTAACCGACTCCATGTAAACCCTAGCTCTCCGGTGTCTATATAAACCGGAGAGGATGGTCCTTAGAAGGCCGATCACAATTACAATCATACCATCATAGGATAGCTCTTAGGGTTTAGCCTCTACGATCTCGTGATAGATCTACTCTTGTACTACTCATATCTTCAATATTAATCAAGAAGGAAGTAGGGTTTTACCTCCATCAAGAGGGCCCGAACCTGGGTAAACATTGTGTCCCTTGCTTCCTGTTACCATCAGCCTAAGACGCACAGATCGGGACCCCCTACCCGAGATCCGCCGGTTTTGACACCGACATTGGTGCTTTCATTGAGAGTTCCTCTGTGTCGTCGCTTCGAGGCTTGATGGCATCTTCAATCGTCAACAACACGGTCCAGGGTGAGACTTTTCTCTCTGGACAGATCTTTGTGTTCGGCGGCTTCGCACCGCGGGCCAATTCGCTTGGCCAGTTGGAGCAAATCGATAGTTTCGCCCCTGGCCACCTAATCAGGTTCGGAAACTTGAACTACACGACAGATATCCGCGGAGACTTGATTTTCAATGGATTCGAGCCCGCGCCAGGACGAGCATGGCCTAGACCTGCTGTCGGACAATGCTCGGGACATCATCCCCGAAGCTGCCTCGGATCTACATCCAGGGCAGGTTGCGTTGCCTATGGACGGAGGGCTGGACCCCGCCCCGCAGGCCGCACACTCATCGGCGGTGGAGCCGAACACAGGTCTCACCTCTGTGGAGGCTTGTAACCCTGGGCCCCCGGACTCTTATCCGGCTGTTGGCCCTGGCCCGCACACTCTCGAGCCAGCCGAGCCAGGTTGGGCTCCGGTGATGGAGTTTACCGCTGCGGGCATCTTTCAGCACTCGCCTTTTGGCGACATGCTGAACTCATTAAAGTCTCTCTCTTTGTCAGGAGGCTCTGAGCCGAACTATGTCCGGCTTGAGTAGGAAGCAGGCGACGAAGGAATTCGCTGCCCACCCACCCCCGACTTTGTCACCACGATCGATGATTTAACCGACGTGCTCGACTTCGACTTTGAAGACATCGACGGTATGGACGACGATGCAGGAGACATACAGGAGCCACCGCTCACAGGGCGGTGGACAGCCACTTCTTCATATGATATATATGATGGACACTCCAAAAGAAACCAATGGCGATGAGGCAACGGAGGCTAACCCCTCCAAGAAAAAGCAAAGCATGGGCGTCGCCAGTGCCGCTCCAAGCCCCGCCAAGGCAATACCAGCACCAGAGACGATAATAATCCGGACGGTGCCGACGATGAATACAACCCCGAACAGCCCGCCTTCGAGCAGGCCGAACAGGAAGACGGGCATGACAGCCCAGATGAACAGGCGACATACGGGTATCCGGAGGAGGACAACTACATGCCCCTCTCCGAAGACGAGGTTAGCCTCGGCGACGACGAGTTTGGCGTACCCAAAGACCCCACAGAGCAGGAGCGCTTCAAGCGTCGGCTTATCGCCACTGCGAGAAGCCTGAAGAAGAAGCAACAGCAGCTTCAAGCTGATCAAGATCTGCTCACAGATAGATGGACAGAAGTCCTGGCAGCCGAGGAATATGGACTCGAGCGCCAAACGGATGACCGGCCGCCTCGAGGTCGGGACAAAACGGCATATTAGCCGGAATACCAGCCTACAGGCCCGCCGGTTTACTACGGCCCTGGGCAATACTTAGGACGTGTGCGATAAACTGCGTAACGCCGCAGGACAACCAAGATTGATCTACAGATCACGGGGGCGCGTCGAAGCACATGATGAGGACCGTCATACCGGATACACTAACAGCAAATCCGGCCGGACTGCGCCGCGACATAGCCCGGCACAGAGGTGCCGCACACCCCCTCTGCTTCATTGATGAAGTGATGGATCATGTATTCCCCGAAGGGTTTAAACCCGTAAACATTGAATCATACGATGGCACAACAGACCCCGCGGTATGGATTGAGGATTTCCTTCTCCACATTCACATGGCCCGCGGAGATGATCTACATGCCATCAAGTATCTTCCCCTTAAGCTCAAAGGACCTGCCCGACACTGGCTAAACAGCCTGCCCGCAAATTCCATTGGCAGTTGGGAAAATCTGGAAGACACATTTCTTGAAAACTTCCAGGGCACATATGTGCAACCTCCGGACGCCGATGACTTGAGCCACATTACTCAACAGCCCGGATAATCAGCCAGGAAATTCTGGACTCGGTTCCTAACTAAAAAGAACCAAATAGTCGACTGTTCGGATGCCGAAGCCCTGGCGGCCTTCAAGCATAATATCCGTGACGAGTGGCTCGCCAGACACCTCGGCCAGGAAAAACCAAAGTCCATGGCAGCTCTCACGACACTAATGACCCGCTTTTGCGCGGGCGAAGATAGCTGGTTGGCTCGCAATAGCACTACGCCATATTTTGGAACTTCAGATGTTTGGGACAATAATGGCAAGTCACGGCGTAACAGACACAAGTGACGGAACAATGGCGACAACACCAAAGACACGGCGGTCAATGCCGGATTCAGTGGATCAAAATCCGGTCAGCGGAAGAATCCATTCAAGAGAAACAATTAAGGACCGTCCAGTCTAGACCGCATACTGGAGCGCTCATGCCAAATTCATGGCACCCCGGACAAGCCAGCCAACCACACCAATAAAGACTGCTGGGTATTTAAACAGGTCGGCAAAATAAACGCCGAAAACAAGGACAAGGGGCTGCACAACGACGATGATGATGAGCCCCGACGTCCGAACATGGGGGGGGGGGGGCAGAAGAAATTTCCCCCCCAGGTGAAAACGGTCAACATGATCTACGCCACCCACATCCCCAAGCGGGAACGGAAGCGAGCACTACGGGACGTATACACGATGGAGCCAGTCGTCCCCAAATTCAACCCATGGTTAGCTTGTCCGATCACCTTTGATCGTAGGGATCATCCTACTAGCATCCGTCACGGCGGCTTAGCCGCATTGGTTTTAGACCCAATTATAGACGGATTTCACCTCACAAGAGTCCTTATGGATGGAGGCAGCAACCTGAACCTGCTTTATCAGGACACAATGTGCAAAATGGGCATCGATTATTCAAGGATTAAGCCCACCAAAACCACTTTAAGTGTGTCATTCCTGGAGTAGAGGCCAGCTGTACGGGCTCTATAACATTGGAAGTGGTCTTCGGATCTCCGGATAACTTCTGAAGCGAAGAGCTAATCTTCGATATCATCCCTTTCCGCAGTGGTTACCACGCACTGCTCGGACGAACCGCATTTGCCAGATTCAATGCGGTACCACACTATGCATACCTCAAGCTCAAGATGCCAGGCCCGCGTGGGGTCATAACAGTTAACGGAAATATGGACCGCTCTCTCCGTACAGAAGAACACATTGTGGCCCTTGCGGCCGAAGTACAATGCGGCCTCCTCCGGCAAACCACCAATCCGGCGATGACAACCTCAAGCTCCGTCAAGCGAGGGCGGAACACCCCGCAACAGGATCAGCAGGCACGCCAAGAGCATGACTAGCAGTTCGGCCTCCGCCCAAGTCCCACCCAAGCAGCATTCGTGCCACGCGTATACAATTACGCACTCAAAATACCATGGGCACAAGCGGAGGCGTAGCAGTGGCTCAGT